TATATATATATATATATAATACTAGACACTATCAAATTGATTATTTGTTTAGGATAAAATAGAAAAGATTACAACAAAAACAATAGAGATCGAACCTAAATCTTTTATGTACATACCTCAACTCTCTCCCACCCTCCCTTCTTCCTCTTTCAAAACTACTAGGTCAATCATAATGATTCACTAAAAATTGATGTATACAATACTCAGACACTATAAATTTGATTATTTGTTAGGATAAAATCGGAATAAAAACTCTATTTTATTGAATACCCGAAATGTCACTTAGTACGAAGCATTTTTATGTTGAAATGTGAAATGTATAATCAATTATAATCAAAATGGATTTTTATTTGGATAAGTTAGCTCAAAAGTGATCTTGAAACATTCAATACAATAAATAAATCAGCCTTTACATAGTAAATCAACTTTAAGAGAAAAAAAAGTTATTGAAAATAATCATAAACTTTAAATTTTCACATGCATGAGAATACAACTTCATTTTTGGGAAATAATTTTTTTACAAATTTTAACTGGTGTCCTAACCTAAATATATAATTTTTTTTACAAATAACTTAAAAAATTGAAATATTGAGAAATAATCTTTTCCAAACATGCTCCCAATAGAAACAAAAGTTACGTGGAACCAATGTGAAAAAAACAACCGATAAGCAAATATTAGTGTTGCTTTTAATTACAAATTTCAAACCATTAGTTGTGTGAAATAATGGTTTGTCGGACTCTGCATTCAACTATTCTCAATGTACAAGTTCAAATGGTAGTGAATAAGTCAGGACTACAAAGCTAAACATGTTCAAGCATGATGTTTAATTTGACATATTGCCAATCTCACTCGCTAAACATTAAGCACGCAATTTGAATGTACAATGTGTGTATATATGTATCTATCTGTGGTAAAGTATCACTTATAAATTGCTTGCATCGATATATGATCATCAATTCATCATTAAAACTAAAAATATTAAGGGCATCTGAATAATACCAAAATTATCATCCCTCAAAGACATTTAAAGATAAAAAGAGATTTTAGATCAATCATCAGGAAAACCAAGGAATCTGTTTATATGCTTGGCCACAGGTGTAGCATCACCTGGGGAGTAAGGAAGGAGAGAACTTAAATCCATATCTCCTATAGTTTGATGGAGTGTTTGAGGACTAGCACAATACAGATGTTTTCTATCAGCAAGTTCCTCTGCTAGCTCACTTTGATGATTATCCATCAAATCTTCATTTACAACCACAATTAAAGGTTTGCCTAGTCGCAATGTCTCAAATATGCTACCTGACCCTGCAGAAATTCATAATAGTTCCGGTTGGTTACCTACCCCTAACCCCAAACAATAACAAATTAACAACAAAAACTGAGGTTACTTGAAGTTTCCTTTTAAAATATACACTTTGTCCTTTTATATGTGATGGGCGTCCTCCCACTTTATTCACAATATGGTACCAAATTCATGTTCTTTTCAATTTATTATTTCCCACAAGATTTTATGAGCAACATATTTGAAAAGCATTTGGTGAAGGAAAATCACAATGCCTTCTACCTGGATAGAAATGGAATAAACATCCCTGCCAACATCATCTACGATCCATTTTGAATAAAACACAACAAATTGCCTTCATTCACTCTGAAACTTGCCACATCCTTTATAAGTCTCGAGACTAATGAAGGAAATAATGACATTGAATAATGTACAGGTATGGACAACACAATTAGGAATAGGAACACATCCTTGAATTGAGTAATGCAGCTAATGGAGTAACAGTGGTTAAAGAGATGTAAACGGTTGGAAAATTAATTTATTTGCCTCACACAAGGCCGGATATTGCATTTGGATATTGCATTTGTTATTAGTTTGGTTAGCCACTTTGTGCATTGTCCAAGAAAAATCCACTTACAGAAATTTGGTGTGTTTGGATGAAGGATTTTACAAATTCAAGGAATTTTAAATTCTTGGTATTTGAATTACTTTAATTTCAATTTTTATCATTCTTAAAATATTTTATTTGGATAAGTTAATTCAAATTTCTTAAATTTTAAATTGTTAAGTTGTAAAATTGATTTTAAAAATATATTTATATGTTGAGATTTTTGAATTAAATTTTATAAAAATAAATATTAGCTAATTTTAAAATATTTAATAATTTTAAAATTTAATATTAGATAATATTTAATAACTTTAAAAATATTTTTGAATATTCAATAATTAAGAACATGAAGAGATAAGAGATAAGATATATACATGAAATAAGAAGAAAAAATATGAGGAATTTCAAATTCTTACTTTTTTTGGAGAATTTCAAATTCTACTATTTCAAGGAGATTCACAAATGCTTGAATTTCAAATTCTTTAAAATTTCTCCATCCAAACAAGGTATTTCACCTCAAAGAATTTGAAAATTTTCAAATAAATGAATTACTCCATTGAAATTCTTCATCCAAACACACTATAAGGAAACACCAGGAAGAGGAATTTTACATAAGAAAAATGGAAATAGAATTCTTGAAGCCTACATTGATACTGACTATGCAGGGTCAACAACTGATAGGAAATCCACTACAGCTTATTGCATCTTTCTTGGAGGAAAGATAGTAACTTGAAGACGTAAAAAAAATGTTGTAGATCAATCTAATATTGAAGCTGAATTTCAAACGATGACAAAAGGTATTTGTGAATTTTTTTGGTTGAAAATTATCTTAGAAGATTTAAAGATTAAATGGGATGGACCTATGATGCGCTCTACTGTGATAATAACTCAGCAATTAGCATAACTCATAATCCTGTTCAGCATGTTCAAACTAAACATTGAAGTGGATAGGCTGCTCATTCAGAGAATTAATGTTATTACTCCAGCTACAATGGTACCACAGTGGAACTTATTTCAGTGGTTCAGGACACTAACCCAATGCTTCAATATAGCTTGGTCTTTTTGCTTCTAGCAATGGATCTAGTTGGGAGTTTATGGCAACAAAGCACTGTTGATCATATCAATGGACACTATAAGATTGAAAGCATTGTTGGAAGTCAACAGCTGCTAAGCATTTACCTAACCCTTCTGTAAGAAACTCAATCAATTGAAAGTTTCTGAGAAACAAGATGAATATGTTTTACACTGAAAAGCCTCAGGAATCTGAGAGCCTGAATCTCTCCCACCAAGTTCCAAACTGTTTTCCTCACTCCCATTTTCCCTCCTTTACCTATTTATATTAGCCTCCTACTATTACATGTAACAAATTCAGTTATTTACATCTGTCACAACTACTAACTGGCGTAGTTTATGAATTGTGAGTTAGCAATCTATAAATAGGCAGAAAATGTAAGGCAAAGCAGTTACTAGTTTGTTGATTAGTTTATTCAAGGAGAAACTGAGAAAGGCTTGCAAGTTCCTGGGGAAGACACCATGGTATATCATTCTCCCTCTTCTCGACTGTTAACCCATTGATCTAGAGTCACTGTTCAATAAAATTTTCTTATTTTATTTTGTGATCCCTATATTCTGAACCTGAATCTATCAGTTTGTTTTAAGGGAAAAAGGTATTCAAACTTCAAACTTAACCAAACACCATTGACACAATCATTAATTCTGACAGCTAAAAGATCCACATGGATGGGAGAGCAGAATTCAATATAACTGTATCAGCCACCAAGACCAAGTAACACACAGATTACCAAGATAGACTTGCATAATAATAAGCGAAGAAAAGCATGCAACAGACAAGGTGTAACAAGCATACCTGCATGGCTAATGATGAGAGACGCAGATCTGAGATGGTCTGCAATACTGGATGAAAAAGTGAAGTAGTCTACAGCCAACAAGCCATCATCTCCTTCAGACTACAATTCCCAAAAAAAAAAAAAAAAAAAAAAGATTATTAATAAGAATAAAAAACTCGGTACAAAGTGAAGTATTTGCTACAGAAAAAGAGAATAATAAAATCTCCATACTGTTATCTCCCTCCATTATGGTGTTAGTTAAACTCAGTAGCATGTACAGTTACAAGACATTAGTTTGTTTCTTCAAGCAGTTAAGTTAATGAGTTTATTAAACAAGTATAGGGTGTGTTTCGAAGAACTTCTTAACAATTTATTTAGATTTATCTTGTGAAAGTATTTGAGAGAACTTGTGATCTCTCAAGCTGCTTCCAGCTTATTTTAGTAAGTTCTCTATTGATAGCTTAATTAAGTAGCTTGTAATTTAGTAGAAAACAATCTTGTTTTGTCTTTTGATTATAAAAACAACTTATACAATAGGTACTTACATAATAAGTGCTTAATTCAGAGCCTATCTCAGATACAAGTTTAGAATTTTTTCTTTAGGGCTTCTCTACAGGAAATAGTTATTTATTTTTAGTAGAAAAACTCTTAAAAACACTTCTGGCTTGTACCCCCAATAGGCTTTAAGTTATTTTGAGTAAACTTCCCATAAGCACTTCTCGGAAAGAAAATTAGAAAGAAAAAATGAAATAAATTTTTCCATAAACTAAAATTGGCATGCATAACCTTTCTCTTTTTAGTTTCTCCAAGGTCTATAAGCTAGTTTTAGCTTATGGGACAAACTTATTTTGATTTTCCTTTTTTTTTCTCTCCCAAAGAAGTTTATCCAGACATACCCTTACCCTTACCCTTACCCAAATGGATGATCAACGCAACTTAAAACTTTGTTCATGCGGGCATATAGAAAGCTGATTCAGCAAATGTTGAAATCAGAATTTCACATGCTCATTGAGCCCAAATTGATTTTAAAAATCAATTAGCATAAATGGATATTCACAACCAAAGAAGGCAGCATTTTATGAGAAAACAAAGAAAATAATAATAATAATAAAAATGAGAGGGTAATGTACCTTAGTGGGAAGATAGGATCCACGACCCATTTGGATGAGAAGGTGGGTGTAGCCTTTTTCAAACAAGGCTTGTTTAACGTTGTCGGAATCCACGGCTCTCACGAGAGCATCGAAACATGTTGTCCCAACTGTCACGAAAACCACTCTCTTTGTCTTATCATCGTTCCCCATTTATTTACCTACAACCACTCGATTCAATTCGATTATAGTCTCCCCTCTAAATTAGAAAATGCAATTAGCATTCAAGAGAATTGATTTCATCACTGAATTGAACAGAGCATGTCAATGAACAAAAACTGTCGTGTTAAAACCCATACGCTAACTACCCTTTTTGTCACCGTGTCGGCGTGACCATGCTGTTAGAGAACAGAAATGGATTTTAAGTTTTCTCTTTTGTTGGTCTGGAAGCCCATTGGGCTACACATATTGGGCCTAATTCTTGTTGAAAATTTTCGAAAGGCTTTTATTATTTACACGTCTCCTTTATCTATGCATCTCGCATCTCTTTTTCTGATATATGAAATTATTCAATTATCATTTTCTTTAATTTCTTTTTTCTCTCAAATAATTCTTAGACCTGTTGATGGCAAAGCTAGGAGAAGTGAATAGTTGAACCACTCCTTGACTTCACCAAGTGTAGGATCCTCTTCTAGGAGATTTGGACCAAATGGATTGAGCTTGCTTGAATGAAGAACACGAAGTAAGAAGCCTAGGCTAGAGAAGGAAGTATCCAAGCATCCTAGCTTGAAGGCTCAAAGGATTGCTCACTTCAAAAGGTAGGAACTAAGGTAATTTTCCTAGGGTTTGAAGGCAATATCTCTCGGTGACTCTTGAGGGAAATTTGGCTGAAAATGTTCAGAAATTTCTTATGTTCAAAAGTGAATACAAAGTGTGAGGAGGAAACCTTTTATGCATCCGAAATTAGGAGACACTTGGCGCCAATGTGGAAGCTTCACATGTGGCGCCAAGATTTGAATTCAAATTTTGAATTTGAATTCAAATCTTAACACACATGTGCAAGACCGGATCCCATGAGTGCTAAGTGTATTTAGGTTTGATTTAGTGTGCATTTAGGGTTGAATTTGAGTCACACATGTTCAACCAAGGTGGCGCCATCCATGTGACTCAAAATGCAACTTAAATGCATACTAAATTAAACCTAGTTTTGCCTAATTCACTTAAACTAATAATCTTCCTTAAATCCTAAACTAATGACCTAAATACAATGGTCAATGAAATACAATGAATAAGAAAAATTACAAGAAAGAGAATGAGCCCAATATTGGGTGTCAAAAGCCCAAAGACCCATGAAGCCCAATTATAAGCCCAAAGTGTACAAAACCTAATCTATGGTCAAATACAAGACCAAAACAAAGTAAATCCCTATTCTATGAATTTGCAATAAAACATGGTGTTAAACAAGTAAAGCCCAAGTGAAGAGCACCCTAGGCCCACCAAGTCCATTGAGCCCACTAAGCTCTGAAGCAGTCATGTCTTCTAGTAATCTCCTGGCCATAGCTCTAGTAGTTGGACTCTTGGTCCATGCTCTTCCATCACCTGTACTTTTCAAAATATATTTATTGTAAGAATTATATTAAGTAAATCATAAATAAGATAGAAAATAAATATAAAAGGGTTAAATAATGATGAAGATGAAATGTATTAGATTTTGTTAATATGTGTACAAAATTCAAATCACTGATCTGCACTCCCTTTTTCATATTAATTCAATTTTATTTCAAATAATATTTTCCTGATAATTGTGCATATGAAACGTAATGATAGAAAACAAAAATAATATTCTGTAAAAAAAGAAGAATAGATTCAATTTAGTGAGATTAAAAATAATAAAACAATCAATGGGAATGCATTTGATTCACGTGACAAATTAAAACAATAAACACGATAACATTAATTGATACTATAATAACACACTATCAACAACATACGAAAAAAAAGCCATATAGAATATTCGTGTTCGATACAATGGACATGGTGGTTGACAGACAAGACACTAAAACAGAAATAAAGTTTTTTTTTTCTATTAAGTAATAATACATAATTAACAATGAAGAGAAAGTAAATATATGTGGATCCAAAAAATTATAAATAAAAAAAAATAAAAAAAATAAATAAATAAAACACAAGTTTTGCCAATGGTTCGAATTCTGTTCTTCAAAAAAGGGAGAGGAAATTATGTAATAACATGTAATCATTAAAATAAAACAAGCTTATAATCATTTTTTTAATCCAAAAATTGATACACTAATTTTTTTAAAAAAATAAAACAAGCTTATAATCCAAAAAGTGACAGCTGAACACAATTTGTTTTTTAATCTTATCGAGACATATTCCAGTCTTTGGATGTGACACAGTAACTTACAAGGCTGCATCATTCTCTCCTGAAGTGATATTTGGATTTCAAGCAATTTATGCACTCAACAAACAGAACCCAAATTGGAACATACTTTTTTTTACAGTTAACCAAACTGATAAATTCCATTCCACTTAATATGGTTCACAGAAGAAAAGAATCCTTCTTAGGTTAAAACAGAATCTGCAGCATAGTGACCCTAAATAAACATTGACACCAATGATTTCTCCACTCATTTCGTAAAAGAAACCACTTATTAGTCAACCACCGCCCCAATTTAGCACCATAGCAATCACAATTTATACTGGGTAACACAACACAACCCTTATCACATACCATATATTATACACATTACAAATATATATATATATATATATATATATATAAAGAGAGGAAGATCTATTTCCTCCATGAATAAGGTTATCTAGATTTATTTTGTTTAATAACTCATATTATAAATCAAATTTTAATGATTCAACTGCTGAATTTAAAGTTCTTAATGCATAGATTAAATTTAAATTTTTTTTAAAAATTTGAAAATCATTTGATACTTTGTTTTATTAATTCAAATTGACGGTGTATTTTTATGATTATCCGTCAATTTGAATTAATGAAATGAAGTATCAAACGATTTTCAAATTTTTAAAAAATTTATAGATTTGATATGTGCATTAAGAACTTTAAATTCAATGGTTGAATCGTTGAAATTTAATATAAAGCATGAGTTATTGAACGAAGTAAATATAGGTAGACTTACTTCTTGAGTAAACGAATCCCTCTTTATATATATATATATATAGAGGGAATATATTAAGTGAGAAAAAATTTATTATGAGAGATGAGAGGGTTAAAATATAATCCTTAAATTAATTTTCTCTCACTCACTTGATTAAACCTCAAATTTTCTCTCACTTGATTAATCTAAGGGTTATATTTTAACCATCTCATCTCTCATAATAAATTTTTTCTCACTTAATATATTCCCTCTATATATATATATATATAAAGTTGAGGAATAAAACAAAGGTTCTCATATCAAAGCGTACATAGCTACCTATTCACATTGGCCTTGAAGATTCACTTCTCAATCAAAACCTTATTCTATAGATAGAAATTGTCAAATTAGATGATTGGACATGTTAGTCATATAGACAAGTTGATAGGTGTTGAATGTAATTCCCTGTATTCGAGGATAAGGTAACCTCCAACAGCTAAGCTAGAAAATGAAAATTGTAAAATATTTGTTTGTAAATCTTTTTCCTCCTTCATTCAATCATTGGTAGAATATATATATCAGATTATAATCACCAAATCATTGACTATTCGTAACCCTAGGTAATAGAAAATGGAATCTAACAAAAGGAATAAAATTGGATTTTAGTAGTTACAAAACAGTAGGCACATGGCACATATATGCTAACGAATTCACACAAAGTCTCTAAGATAAACTAGTTTCTTGGTAATTTGTTTGGGCCTATTGTATCCATCATGGGCATATGATTCATGAGAGGCTCTATTTCTATCATTACCCAGTCCTGCAAAAGACACCTTATTCTCAAGGTGAAAGGAAGAACAAAGATCATCCCATTGTTCCCAACTAGTATCTTCAGGAGAAAGACCCTGCCATTTCACAAAAACCACCTTGGTTGGAAGGTAGGTGGTTGAGTCCCACTTTGAGTCTAGAAAGGAAAGAGACTGAAGTACCGGTTGATTGCCAATAGAAGTAGGGGACCTTGATGCAACTTCAAGAGTGTAGACACCCAATTTCATCCAGGATACTTGAACTAAGGACAAGAGACTATTAGAATGGGACAAACAGTTTTCGAGGGCCTAATAAAGCACCCAAATGAACTAAGATAATTCAAGGAGGCCCAAAAAACTCAAAAAAATTAATATGGGGCACGGAAAGGTTGTTCCCAACCTTGGAACGGTCGTTCCCAATCTCGGAACGGCCTGTTTCAAAATCATAATAGCTCGTTCCCCTTACTAGAAAAGCTTTGTTTTGGGCAGCGTTTTTGTTTTTATAATATATCTCGCTACAAACCTAATTTTGACAATCCGACCGTTGAAGTTAAAGGTCAATGTATTGAGAAGATATCAACAAAATTTTAGCATGATCCAATGGTTAACTAATTCTCTAGAGGCCTCGTACTACAGCTGGAAAGAGTAGTACGTACGAGCCCTAACGGCCCAATAGAGCACCTAAACAGACCAAGATAGCTCTGGAAGGCCCAGAAAACTCAAAAAGCTAATCTAGGGCACGAAAAAGCCATTCCCAACCTTGGAAAGGTCGTTCCCAATCTTGAAACGACCCGTTCCAAAATCAAAACAGCTCGTTCCGCTTTCAAGAAAAGTTTCGCATTGAGTAGCGGTTTTGTTATGATAATATCTCTCTCTATAGACCTAATTTTTCTAATCCGATTGTTGAATTTAAAGATCAATGTATTGATAAGATATCATCAAAATTTTAGCATGATCCAACGGTTAATGAATTCTGTAGAGGCCTCACACTATAGCTGGAAAATAGGAGTCTTATACCAAACAATGTTTTTGTTCTAATAGTATCTCTCACTACATACATAATTTCAACAATATGACTGTTGAATTTTAAGAAAAATCTATTGTGAGGGTACTATAAAAGAACTAGCACAATCCAATGGTTAACGAGTTCTTTAAAGGTCTTGCATGGTGCCTAGAAAAAGATTGAATTTTTTGTAAGATTTAGTCCCACATTAGACAATTCTCTTATGCATTTGCCTCCTAGATGGCTATATAAGAAACCCTCTTGCAAGGTATGAGACACATCAAGTTCCATAACTTCCCCCTTCTCTATGTAAATCTCTAAGTGATAGGGAGACTTTTGTAAAGCGAAGGGCTACCAAAACGCGTTCCGCACACATTTGGGAAGATTCCCTTATAAAAGGCTTGCTTCTAAGGTTTTAAATTCTTCTCTTTTATTTATTATTTTTATTTATT